TCGTTTTTGTGAATTTGGAACCATAAGTGGCCCGTGGTAAAGATAGATGGGCGAAGTGCAGCGAGCAGGCTATCATCTGGGGTATTATGCACACGAAAGATGTATTTTACCTGGAGGATGGCATGGTGATGTACCATTGCTGGAAGACGGGTCAAGTGTTTAAACACCATGGTTGAGGATATGCAGTGGCCTCCGAAAAGTAAGCGTAGACATTGGTCTTGTGCTTTTTCAAGTTTTATCTTTTCCTTCACCAAAGGGTGGATCAAAGCAAGGCCATATTCGAATTTTGGCCGAATAAATTGCTGGTATAAACGAGCGGAAAGGAGACGAGAGAACCCATTGGGATTTGCACCCAGGGAATGGATAACACACATAGCACCAACTGTACCATGGCTGTTTTCGTAGATGAGTCGCGCTGAATCAATGAGGCCTTTGTTGTTAAACGGAATACCAAGATATTTAAAATATTGATCGCTCTGAAGTGGGACGTTATACAGAGTAAGGGGTCGTCGTGGGTGAATGGCAGGAGATCCAGGATAGGTGATAACACATTTATCAGAATTCCATCGGTATCCAAGTTGACGGCTGTGGCGCTTACAGGCCGCGAGTAGAGCAGGCATGGTTGCCTATGTGCTGATCAGGGCAATATCATCAGAGACAGTTTATGCATTGGTTCTGAACAAGAAATTCTGTGGGAAAGTCAAAATCATCATTGATAGGATTGATCGCCTCTTCAGTGAGACGCAAGAGGGAGGGCAGTGAGTTGATGTACAGTGACTCAAAGAATTGATCCAATGATCGCCGATTTTTTACTTTATTGCAATTATCTCTACAACCATCATATATATCGCCATCGTTAAAAAAATATGTTGTAGCTCTTATTCATAGCTCTGTAACAAAAAAAAGATGAAGTCTCTAGCTTCAGTAGATGATGAGTAATTATATTTTCCGCACAAGTACTCATTGGATCAATTTATTGGGTGGTCAGTTTTCATTAAAAACCGTCACAGTAAGTAAACAGCAAGCTGTGAAAATTATTTCTTCCCACTTCTTCCACCGATTTATTTGAATTCAAGGTGAAATCTGCAACCAGATCTCTCAATTGGCACATCTGATTCACAATTGACCTAATTAACAACATTCTGTGTAGATGCAACCCATTTCTCAAGATCAGATTAACAACATTGAGCAACAACTTCGTCAAAACGTTCCTCACCGCACTATTGCCTCACGTTTTAACGTCAGTGTCAGTACTGTTGGCCGCATTCGTCAGCAATTAGCCATTCCTGCTGGTAATTCCTCCGGACGATCATCAGTAATCACCACCAACTTGGGTCGCCTCATCCTCCGGAAATTCAACACTGGTGAATATAAGGATGCTACAGACGCCAGCAGAAAACTTTCTGCTACAGTGTCTATCCACCCCCAGACGATCCGAAACTTTCTGAAAAAAAATAAGTTCAAATCAATGATCAAGCCTAATGCATTACCATTAACTGCTGCTAGAAAAAAGGCTCGCCTGGCATTTGCTAAAAGGTATCGTTCCTGGACAGTTGAAGACTGGAAAAGGGTTGTGTTCTCTGATGAGACAAAAATCAACCGTTTGGGCTCTGATGGTAAGCAATGGACATGGAGAGAAGAGGGAAAGCCGCTTGGAGATCATAATGTCAATCATGTTGTCAAGCATAGTGGTGGCAGTCTTGTTCTCTGGAGTTGTATCACTGCAAACGGTCCTGGTCTTATAACCAAAATTGAAGGAGGATTAGATTCAGAATTATATTGCCATATTTTGGAGGATGACATGCTTGGTAGTCTGAGAAGTTATGGTATGGATCTTCATGATATCATTTTTCAACAGGACAATGATCCTAAGCATACATCCAAAAGGGCAAAAGAATGGTTTGAAGCAAAGGATGTTAAAGTACTCCAATGGCCTCCCTACTCTCCTGATCTCAATCCAATTGAGAATATGTGGTATTATCTGAAATGTCAGCTTGCTGACTATGATGAAGCACCCAAGTCCATAAAAGAGCTGTGGGATCGTGTTGCTTATGTTTGGTATCACAAAGTTACCAAAGAAGCATGCCAAAAGGTTATTGCTACTATGCCTGACCGCCTGGAAGCAGTTATTAGAGCCAAAGGTGGTGCTATCAACTATTAATTTAATAAGTAAGTGTCACCCAATAAATTGATCCAATGAGTGGTCGCATGCAAATACTGATTACTCACTATCTACTTATGCTAGAGACTTCATCTTTTTTTTGTTACAGAGCTATGAATAAGGGCTACAACATATTTTTTTAACGATGGCGATATATATGATGGTTGTAGAGATAATTGCAATAAAGTAAAAAATCGGCGATCATTGGATCAATTCTTTGAGTCACTGTATACAGAGTATAAAAACGGCGACAGAATAGATCCTTGGAGAACGCCAGTGGCAGGTTGAAAACGGCGCAAGGTGATACCAGAGAGAGTAACTTCGATCTCAACATCATCAAAAAGATTTTTTAAGAGGGCGAGCAGGGGCGGTGCAGCGGCGGGCTCCAGTTCTTGCCAGATGACGTTTCTGTCGACGGTATCGTACGCTGATTTGATGTCAAGAAATGCTATTATAGGACTTTGGCTGTGGATGGTAGCATGCATCACCGACAATTCGTGCAGACAGAGGGCTTGATCCATGGCACTACGGCCAGGACAGAAACTACCCTGCGCAATATCAAGAGTGGGAGCAGCAATTTCCAGAGAGAGAGCAAGACAATTCTCGAACAGTTTGCGGAAAACAGAGGTCAGACAAATTGGGCGGTAGTTGCCAGGGTTGGATGGATCGCCTTTCTTGTAGATTGGGACCACTTGAGCAACGCGCCATACAGAAGGGGTTTGACCCCACTTCTAGCAGAGGGCGAAAAATTTTAAGAGGAGTGGAACGAGTGTGTCAATGAGTGGGAGGAGCATTTCAGTACGTACATGATCAATGCCAGGCGCCTTTCGGCAAGCGAGGCGATTGAGAGCCTGAGTGACGGTATAATAATTGATCGGACAAGGAGTTGAAAAGGGAGCAGAAGAAACAGGTTCTTCGGTAATAGAGAGTCCAAGGAGATTCCCAGAGAAAACTGATTCGAGGTGTGTCAGAATGCGGTCAGCAGCGACCACTGGACCAGCAGGGTCAGAAAAAGAAGGATTAGTTTTACGGTTGTGGCAGATTTTGTTGATTGTGGCAGTGGCAGTGGCAACATCACCAGTAGACAGTTTCTCAGTGAACTCGCGCCAAGTTAGGTGGCGTCTGCGAGATACTAGGCGGTGGAAAATGGCAGCAGTGCGTTGGTGATCTACCCAACGAGAAAGTTTACTTGTACCAGAAGCTCGGCGCCAGAGTCGGTAGCAGCGTTCACGATCGTCAAATGCTCTTTGGAGTTCATCGTTCCAAAACCATTTGCACTTTCGGCGAGGAGGTTTACGTTTATCTACACTTTGGTCAAGTGCAGAATAAATGGCATCGCACAATTGGTCATTGAGAGCATCAAGTGGAGGAGGCGAACGAGTGGAAAGAGTGGTGGTAAGTAAGTCAGATAAAGGAGCGGACAGGGTGTTGAAGGATTGGAGATACTGGTCTAAGTGACTACTGTAGAATAGCAAAAATGACTGAGATTCTATAGGCGATGTGGATGGTGAGAAGTGCTTGAGGGAGGAGGGGTAGAAGGAGTGTATGTGATATGGACGATTTTATGATCTGATCCCAGAGAAAGATCACTACTGACATGCATAGTGGGGTTCAAGAGTGGTTGCGTGCTTATAAACCAGTCGATGATACTAAAACCGTGGCCCGAAAGAAGTGTAGGTATACCATAGGCCAGAGAGGCATTCCAAAGTGTTAGTCCATGCTCTTGTATCCAAGTGAGAAGCATAGTACCACAGGGTGTATAAATATTATCTCCAATGAAGGTGCCAATGCATCCATTAAAATCACCACATAGGATGGTATTGGTGGTGTTGTCGTGATGAAAGGGGAGGGAGTTGAGAACAGCCATGATGGCAGAGGAAGAAAGCGAGGGCGGTAAGTAGAGACAGTGGATGAGTGTATCGGTGACAATGCAGGAGAGAACATAAGGAGAGGAGTTCGGTAGAACAGTAACGTGGTAAGGAAAGGATGGGTTGACAAGTAGGGATATACCCATACTGCCGACATAAGCATTGTGTAGTGGTGTTTCATAGGTATGATGTTGGATCCAGTGTGTGGGAAATGTATGGGGTTCGAGAAGCCAGGTTTCGGTGATAAACATAAGTGCAGAATTCGGGATATAGGAGAGGATCGTATCTATGAGGTGACGTTGGAGGCCATTGGCGTTCCATAAAGAGAGTGTAATGGGCTCACTCATTGATCAGATATTTGGTTCGCGTTAGTCTGGGTGGAAGTGTCGCTCGTAATCGACATGCAGCGGACGTTAGTGTCATCATCATCTGTGAGAAAAGGATTGTCAGGTGGGGTGGTGGTAAGTTCAGTGCGGGAAAGAATAGACTGGAGGTGGGAATCGGAAAGCCATTGTTGTTGATGGAAAGACTGGGTGACTGCAAATTTAACAGGTGCATGGATGAAATTAATGGCACGTTCAAGTCGTTCGACATGGAGTTGATCAGCCTGTTGTTGACGATCCTTGGCAGCCAAGGTTTCGAATTTAGGATCGCGCAAACGCATAGGGTCGCGTGGGTTGAAATCTTTGATCTGCTGAATGGTGTGTTTGGCAAGGAGGGTAGTAAGTTCATCATAATAGTCATTATGAATCAGCAGGGCAACGATTTGGCGATCGGGGTAGTGAACATCCAGAATGCGTGAATTATTAAATCCAAGAATGCGAAGGCGGCTGCGAATCTCCTTAGTCTTCATCCGGAACTTGCTGGGGATATAGACATAGCGGAAACCATGGGTCTTGCTATTAGTCGCGAAGGTTCTTGCAACAGTCTCCACTTGTTTGGTTGAGAACTTTTTTTTGGGTAGGTTTTTTTTAGTGCGAGAAGCCCATGTGTCCTTGACTGGGGAAGTGTCGGTTGTAGGGAGGTCTGTGGATGTGGATGCATACTTAGAAGCCATTGCTCCAATGGGGGTAGAGTCAGCATATTGGGTTTCAAATTGAGCTTCAAGCTGGGCGATTCGAGCTTCGGCAGCAGCCAACGATTGGTTTAACTGATGATTTTCTGCCTTCAGTTGATCATACTCATCTAGGCGGTGGAGAACTTGATTCATTTGAGTGACCATGGCTGTCATGAATGATGGAAGGGCTTCATGATGCTCAAATTGTAACATGGTGGAGGGTAGAGGTTGTTCCGTCGGTGCAAGAGGTGTAGCTGGGTTCTGGGTCGGAGTAGATGCCTGAGATTCAGGCGATTCAACCATGGTGATATCAGGTAACATTTCCACAGAAGCATCACGAGCGCGGGTTTAGTCAATCAGTTGGCGCATCTCAATATGCGAAAAACGTTGGCCGCATTAACAGAGAAAAATGGGCATGGCTGGTTCAGTCTTAGTGTGGCCATTTTTCCTGATGGTGGACTTGTTGCATTTGGGGCAGCTGAGTTGGGACTGACGCATTTCAGTGAAATCGGAGGCTAAAAGGGCCACGGCATCAGGAGAAAAAATTTTGGGCGGCTTGGCCAGCCCAAGGGCTCCTTGGCTTTTCTCGGGTTTTTTTTGCACTGTTTTGATGGCGCCCATTAACAGTTGCAAGTCAGAAATGGTAGACAGTTGTTCAGGAAAGTTTGGACATGTGCGTTTAAGTGCGGGGATTCGAGTAATGTAAGCTGGTAAAATAGATGTTCGCTGCCGTTTACTGATAAATAATTTTTTTGTTGGATGGCCGGATGTTGGAATCGCAGGACAGAATTCAGTGCTTTCGCTTGGAGCTTCTAACGAAACTTGTTCTGCGAGGTTGGTAGTGGAGCTTGAGAGTGTTTTTACAGTTGGAGGGTTTGTTGTTTTGCTGCTATTCGTTGTCAAAGTTTTGCTGAAACCGGTAAAACTATTATCCGTGAAAAAAGTGATGAATAGTGGAATAACCAGTGATTCCTTGGTGTAGATGAAAGTTTTATTAAAGCGAGGCGAAGCCGAGCACAGACTTCTGGAGTGAAGCAACGTTGCTCTCGCCAGATCGAGGGGGGAGATACAGTAGGTCATAAAAAAACCTACTGTACTAGACAGCAGGAAAAAATGAAAAAGGAAACAAATGCATGAAAAATAAAAAATAAAAATAAAAAAAATCTAAATGGAGCTAATGTCTGATTCCGAAGAAACAGAAACAGGTGGGGGCAAAAGCCAGTTCACGAGGGAACAACCAGGAGCGGGATCACGGTAAGCAATGAAATCAGGATCGGGATGACAAGCCTGATCTACCTCAAGGAGGATTTGACAAACAATCGGCCAGGTACGGCGCCAGTAAGCAATGTGATGGGATGAGGTGGGGCGGGTTTTTGGGAGCTGGTTCAAAATACAAGAGAGTGGATCAGCGTGATCAGGATCATTGCGAACGTTGAGACGCCGGTGCATGTTCAAACACCAGATTAAATGGCGCCGGCTTGTGTGGTCATGCTTGCACCAACAGGTAATAGGGCGGCCAGGAAGTCAACCCATTCTCCATCGGATGCAACGACTTCGTTCATGGTGAGTCATTGGCAGGAACATGATGGGATCGATGCCCAGACGGGGACGGCAGGCGCGAAGGAGGATGCTGTTATGACTATCCAGCCGATGCTGGAAAGTGTCTTGAAGGAACGTCCAGAGGGCAGATTTAAAGTCTTTTGCAGACGTGTGAGAGCAGGGTCGAGGGAGGCTAACCCAGATTTGATTCCTGTAGTAGGAAGGCCAAAGGTGTGGAGTATGTTTAATGTGAGGCTTTAGAGCACTCAAAAGACTGTCGTCAGGAAGGTGGTAAGATCGGAATAAATATTTGGCTTGGAGAATGCTGTATCGTTCAGCCATTGTGGGCAAGTGGGTCAAGTGACGGAAAACAACTGTGGATGCGGTGCGATGGCCACCAAAAATCATGCGTAAGCATTGATCTTGAGCACGATCGAGCTGAATATGCTGTTTCACAGAAAGGCGAAGAAGGGCAAGGCCATATTCGAACTTGGGACGGACGAATTGTTGGTACAAGCGAGCGGAAAGCAAACGAGAGAAACCATGTGGGTTGACACCCAGGCCACGTAAGACACGCATGGTACCCAAGGCGCCGCTGCTGTTCTGGTGGATGAGGAGAGTCGGATCGATCAAGCCCTAGCTGTTGAAAGGAATACCGAGGTACTTGAAGGTGGAGGCGGATTGAAGGGGAACATTGTAAAGTGTTAAAGGAATGGAGGGGGAAACCGAAGGTGAACCATCGTATAAAACGACACACTTTTCCGGATTCCATCGATAGCCTAGTTGTTGGCTATGCCTTTCACAGGCGGCAAGGAGAGTAGGCATAGTATTCCAAGTACCAATGATCGCAACATCGTCAGCATACAGGAGGCAGTTGATGCGTTGACTGCGGATAAGGAAATGTGGGGGAGCAGCAAAGTCATCATCATCAGGAAAAAGTGATGCTTCGGCAAGACGGAGGACACCAGGAAGGGTGTTAATGTACAAAGAATAAAGGAATGGAGAGAGTACGGAACCTTGGAGGACACCGGTTTTAGGTTGGAAACGAAAGGAATTGATGCCTGAGAGCAGGACTTCAATGGAGACGTCGTCAAATAAATTATGGAGGAGAGAAAGGAGTGGAGGTGGGGCCGTAGATTCAATTTCTTGCCATATGACGTTCCGATCAACGGTGTCATAGGCAGATTTGATATCTAGGAAAGCTATAACAGGACTTTGTCCATGGATGGTTCGGTGGATGACAGAAAGCTCGTGGAGGCATAAGGCTTGATCCATTGCACTACGTGCTGGTCGGAATCCGCCTTGGGCGATATCGAGGGGAGGGGAAACGCGTTCGAGTTCGGGCATAAGACAGTATTCAAGAATTTTTCTGAACATGGAAGTGAGGCAGATGGGTCAATAGTTTCCTGGGTTAGTAATATCGCCCTTTTTGTAGATGGGTACAGCCTGTGCGACTCGCCAGTCAGAGGGACAAGTCCCCCATTTCTAACAGAGTGCAAAAAGGCGGGAAAGGAGTGGAGAGAGTGGATCAATGAGGACTTGGAGTACCTCAGCGCGAATGTGGTCTACATCAGGTGCTTTTCGGGAGGCAAGGCGTTTGATAGCGGCAGCAACCTGGATGGAAGTGATGGGGCAAACGAGAGAAGAGAGAACAAGGGAAAAATGAGACGGATCGCCAGAAGAAGTTGAATGGGCGAGGAGGTTACCAGCATATACTTGCTCGAGATGAGAGGCGATGCAGTTGGCGGCAGTTGTGGGGCCAGCAGGGTCTGTGAACTGAGGGGTGGTTTTACGATTGCGCCGTAATTTCCCCATCATGGCAGTGGCATCACTAAAGTTGTCAGTGGTCAGCTTGTCACAAAATTCACGCCAGGTTTGTCGCTTGCGTTGGCTGACTAAATGGCGGAACTGGGCAGAGGCTCGTTGATGATCGATCCATCTGGACATTTTGCTAACGCCTTCGGCGCGGTGCCATTTCTGGTAACAGGATTCACGATAATCGAATGCGTCTTGAAGTTGTGAGTTCCAAAACCATTTACAAAATCGTCGAGGAGGCGTGCGGCGGCCAACGGTGGTGTCTAAGGAAGCATAAATTGCTTCACAGAGACGTTGGTGGAGACGATCAAGAGAAGGAGCGGTGGGAGAATCGTAGAGTTCGATCAGGTCATGGTGTAGGGAATGTATGTTGGATGTAAAGGAGTGGATGAGGCGGTCACGGTAAGTGGGATCAGCGAGTTTGCTGAGGTTCCATAATTGACGTGGATGTGGGATGGCAGAGGAAGGAGGAGGTGCTGATGGGATAAAGGTAAGGTGGGAGAGTTTGTGATCAGAGCCCAAGGAAATATCGTGGTCAATATGCATAGAAGGTGTAAGGAGTGTGTGGGTGCTGAGAAACCAGTCAATGATGCTAGATCCGTTACCGCGGAGGTAGGTAGGCTGAGCGTAAGCCAGTGAGGCATTCCATAGGGTAAGACCATGTTCATGTATCCATTCCAAAAATAATGTGCCGCGGGAATTAATGTTATAGTCACTAACAAAGGGACCGATACGAGCATTGAAGTCGCCGCACAGTATAGTATTTGAAGTGCCAGGTGCGGAGAAAGGGAGGTTGTTAAGGATAGTGAGAGCGTCGGCAGAAGAGAGAGAGGGAGGAAGGTACAAACAATGTATGAGATGGTCAGCGGTAATACAGGAAAGGACATAGGGTGATGTGATCGGAAGGATTGTGATGGGATAAGGAAAGGAAGGATTGATAAGGAGTGAGATACCCAGATTACCAACGTAGGCATTGGGAAGGCATTGGTCATAATTATGGTGTTGGGTCCAGTGGGTGGGAAATGAGTGTGGTGAGAGAAGCCAAGTTTCAGTAATAAAGATGAGTGAGGAATCTGAAGTAAAGGAGAGAAGGTTATCAATGAGGTGTCGTTGGAGCTCATTGGCATTCCATAGAGTAATCGTTAAAGGGTCACTCATTGATCAGATTTTTCGTGTTGGGAGGTGCTGGTGGAATTATTGCCAGAGAGAATCATCTTGTCATCATCATCATCCGTGGTGCGGAAAGGAATGGTGGAGGTGGCAGCATTGGATTCTGTCTGGGTACGGGATTGTAAAAAGGAACGGAGCATATCATCATCAATCCACTTTTGGCTGTGGAAGGAGCGGGCGACAGCAAATTTCACAGGTTCACGAATGAACTTGAGAGCGCGTTCAAGCCGTTGGCGGTGGATCTGATCGGCTTCACGCTGACGGTCTTCCAAGGATAAAGTATTGAACTTGGGATCACGCAGACGCGATTGATCACGGGGATTGAAGTCTTTGATTGGGGTGATGTTGTGATGGGCAAAGGAAGCAAGCAGCGTATCGTGGTAGTCGTTGTGAATCAACAGAGCAACGACCTGACAGTCTGGATAGTGGATATCAAGGATTCGAGAATTGTTAAAACCAAGCATACGTAAGGTCTGTCTAAGGGCCTTGGTCTTCATACGGAATTTGCTGAGGATGTATACATACTGAAATCCATGAGTTTCACTAGTGGGGGCAAAAGCTCGGGCGAGTGTGGCCATGCGCTTAGGGGACACTTTGGGTTTTTTTGCGTGTTGCGCACGCTTAGCCCATGTGTCATCAGTTGTGGGGGCGGCAGGGGTGGGCGGCGGAATGGTGTCATGGGCATATTTCGATGCCATGGCACCAGACAGAGCAGGAAAAGAGGTCTGAGCTTCAAGTTGGGCGATTTTGGCTTCCGCAGCAGCCAATGACTTTTTCAATCTCTGATTTTCAGCAATTAGTGCATCATACTGGTCCATGCGGGTGCGCATTTGATTAAGTTCAGCCATGATAGTAGTCATAAATTCAGGCAAGGCTTCATGGTGTTCAAAACGCAGAGCAGACAGCGGCTGGAAAATCGAAGTTTCACTGGGAGCAGAAGGTGGTACAGAAGCCTGTTCAGCTTCGGTCATTTTGGAATTCTTGGGGAGCAAGGCGGAGACAGAGACAGCACGACCATTGTGTTGGTCGATGAGAAATCACATGTCGATATGGCCGAAGCGATATCCACAGCGGCAAAGGAAGATGGGCATGGGTGGCTCCGTTTTGGTATGGCTATTCTTGTTGATATGGCCAAGATCCAGGCATTTCGGGCACTTAAGAGCAGTGTGGCGCAAGATCTCAAAATCGGAGTGGAGTTTTTTCAGGGCATTGGGTGAGAAAATTTTAAGAGATTTGGTCACTCCAGCCAGGTCTTGGGCTTTTTCTATTTTTTTGTTACTTTTTATCGCACCCATCTGAGGTTGGCGTTCAGTGGATGAGGACAAATATTATTATAGAACACAGATACCATATATGGTAATTTATTTTTAAACTCATCTACAATATTTTTTTATTATTATAAAATTTTTATTATTTAAAATTTTAAAATTAAATAATTATAAAGCATTTTAAAAATACAATTTAATAATAATTTTAATCTTATAATAAAATATATTTATTATATAATATTCTTTGTTTATTTATATAATAACTAATATATTTAAAAAATTAGATATAAAAAGAGTTTATCTCATTTATCTCTATTTTTTTGGATTTTATATTTATATTTATATTTGAAGTTAAAAAAGATTAATTATTATAATTTATTTTATTAAATATATTAATTAACTATAATAATTATATATATAATTTATATTATTTGATAAAAAGTCATAGTGGAGCATCTATTATAATTAATTTAAATCTTAATTAAATAGATAATAGCTCCTATTATTTTTTTTAATTTTTTTTAATTTTTTAATTAATTTAAATATTTAAAAAATTATAATTAATAATAAATTATTAGACTTTTTAATTTTCAATTTCAGTTTTAAATTAATTTGCCTGAGTTTAAAATATAAAATCTGTGTGTTATAATAATAATTGTCCGTGGATGAAGTAAGGAGTTCAGGAAAAGTAGTACGAGTACGTTTGTGAATTAGTAAGCGTGAAATGTGGAGCGGGAGCAGAGATGACCTGCGTCGTTTGTTCAAAGAATAATTTTTAAGCAGGTGGTCAGATGTTGGAATCACAGGACGGAAATGCATGATTTCGCTCGTCGGTTCTAATGGAACTTGCTTAGCTGGTGCTGGGCAATGCTTGGGAGGTAAGTTTTTGGGAGGTTCGGTTGTTGTGTCTTTCTCTATTGTCGTCAAGGTAATTACTATATCCGGTAAAACTATTATCCATGAAAAAAGTGATGAATAGTGGAATATGTGAAGTGTGGTGGGAGAGTGGTAACCAAATTGATGCAAGAGTAACCCAAAGAAAGAATATTCACAACAGAGAAGATTAGCTTCAGAACTTCTATGGTTCTTCTTCCGAATACTAATTTCTTGTTACTGTAGATCTGAATAGGGTGATAGCCGACTGTAAAAACTATCAGACTATTCCAAAGAGACTTCCAAAAATGTAGGCGCTAGTCCAAAGTGTATCTTCGAAAAGATGTATTCCCAGAATAAGAGATCAAAAGACAAAAGCTTAAGGATATAGATACAGAAATTTCTAAAAGACATTTAAATATACTTTCACCGTACTATAGTTTCTTAACTAAGGGATTACATAATATGTAAGAACAATAGAAATAATCATAGTTTGAGTCATCGTCAGAATGCGTAATGATCATAAGATAATTTCAGATTGTTAAACGAACTTCACGAAAAATCGAACGGGACTTCCAATTCACACTCCGCTTCTGAAAAAGAAGGAACCGACAAATCGATCGATATTTCATCGCCCAAACATCATAGCACCACGGGAGAAACACCAAAAGAAAGGGAAAAGACCAACGAATTCAGGTAACCACAGAAATTAACCAGAACAAGGGAAATCCGAAAAAGGCAGTCGGCCGAGGCTTACACAACTTTGGTTTTCACAAATAACCAGTGATTCCTTGGTGTAGATGAAATGTTTTATTGAGGGCGAGGCGAAGCCGAGCACACGCTTCTGGTTTGAAGCAATTGCTCTCGCCAGTTCGGAAGAGAAGATAGGTCATGAAAAAACCTACTGTATAAGACAGCAGGAAAAAATGAAAAAGGAAACAGATGCATGAAAAAAGAGAAAAAAAATCTAAATGAAGCCATGTTCCGATTCCAAAGAAACGGAGACAGGTGGTGGTAAGAGCCAATTCACGAGTGAACGGCCAGGGTCAGGGTCACGAAGTGCAAGGAAATCCGGGTCAGGATGGCAGGCCTGGTCAACCTCAAGGAGGATTTGACAGACTATCGGCCAGGTTCGGCGCCAATATGCAATGCAATGGGAGGAAGTTGGTCTTGATTTCGGCAGCTAGTTGAGTACCAAAGATAGCAGATCGGCATGGTTGGGATCGTTGCGAACTCTGAGTCGATGATGCATGTTCAGGCACCAAATCAAGTGGCGGCGGCTTGTGTGGTCGCGTTTACACCAACAGGTAATAGGGCGGCCGGGAAGCCAGCCCATTCGCCATCGGATACAGCGGCTACATTCTTGGCGTGTCATTGGGAGGCACATGACAGGGTCAATACCAAGTCATGGGCGGTATGCACTCAGAAGAGCACTGTTACGACTTTCAAGATGGTGCGAGAAAGTGTTTCGGCGGAAGGTCCAGATGGCAGCTTTGAAGTCTTTGGTAGACATTTGGGAGCGAGGTCGAGGGAGGCTAACCCAGATTTGATTCCTATAGAAGGAAGGCCAGAGGTGCGGTGTGTTTTTAATGTGAGGCTTTAAAGCACTCAGGAGACTGTCGTCGGGAAGGTGGTAGGAGCAGTACAGGTATTTGGCTTGAAGGATGGAATATCTTTCAGCCATGGTGGGCAGGCGGGTCAAGTGTCGGAACACAACAGTGGAAGCAGTTCGATGGCCACCAAAGATCATGCGTAAGCATTGATCTTGGGCACGGTCAAGTTGGGTTTTCTGTTTAACAGACAAGCGAAGGAGAGCAAGGCCGTATTCGAACTTTGAGCAAACAAATTGTTGGTACAATCGTGCCGAGAGCAGATGGGAGAAACCATGGGAATTGACGCCCAAACTGTGGAGTATACGCATGGTGCCCAAAGCACTGCTACTGTTCTGATGAATCAGGCGAGTCGGATCTATCAGGCCTTGATCATTAAACAGCACACCGAGATACTTGAAGATAGAGGTACTCTGGAGAGGAACATCATACAAGGTCAAAGGAAGGGAAGGGGGAACCGAGGGAGAGCCATTGTATAAAACGACGCACTTTTCGGGATTCCAATGATAGCCAAGTTGTTGGCTGTGGCGTTTGCAGGCGGTAAGGAGGATGGGAATAGTATTCCATGAACCGATAATCGCGACATCATCTGCATAAAGCAAACAATTGATGCGTTGGCCACGGACGAGGAACTGAGGGGGAGCGGCAAAATCATCATCGTCAGGAAATAATGAGGCTTCGGCGAGACGGAGGACACCAGGGAGGGTATTGATGTATAACGAATAAAGGAAAGGAGAGAGCACGGAACCTTGAAGGACACTGGTTTTTGGTTGAAAACGAGGGGAGTTGACGCCTGAGAGCAGGACTTCGATAGCAACCTCATTGAACAGGCATTTGAGCAGGGAAAGGAGTGGAGGGAGAGCAGTGGATTCGATTTCCTGCCATATGACATTCCGATCAACGGTGTCATAGGCAGATTTGATGTCGAGGAAGGCGATTACAGGACTTTGTCCATGGAGGGTGCGGTGGGTGATGGATAGCTCATGAAGACAGAGGGCTTGATCCATAGCACTACGTGCTGGGCGGAATCCACCTTGTGCGATGTCGAGAGGAGGGGCAATTCGTTCTCATTTGGGCATTAGGCAATACTCCAGAATTTTCCGGAACATGGACGTGAGGCAGATGGGTCTATAGTTTCCAGGATCGGTTGTATCGCCCTTTTTGTAAATTGGTACAGCTTGTGCGACTCGCCAGGCAGAGGGACAAGTCCCCCATTTCCAACAGAGTGTAAAGAGGCGGGAAAGGAGCGGAGAGAGTGGTTCGGTGAGGACTTGAAGTACTTCGGCGCGGATATGGTCGACTCCAGGTGCTTTTCTTGGGGCTAGGCGTTTGATGGCAGCAGCGACTTGGGTGGAGGTAAAGGGACAGGCGAGATTAAATGGAACAGGGGAGGTAGTGGACGGATTGTCAGAAGGAGCGGATTGGGTGAGGAGGTTACCAGCATATACTTGCTCAAGATGAGAAGCAATGCGGTTGGCAGCAGCAGTGGGACCAGTAGGATCGGTGAACTGTGGGGATGTCTTACGGTTGCGGCGTAATTTACCCATCATGGCGGTTGCGGCACTAAATTCACCATCAGTCAACTTGTCACAAAATTCACGCCATGTTTGTCGTTTTCGTTGACTGACTAAACGGTGGAATTGGGCTGCGGCTCGTTGGTGATCGATCCAGCGGGACATTTTGCTGAGACCTTCAGCTCGCCGCCATTTACGATAGCAGAGCTCACGGTACTCAAAAGCATCTTCGAGCTGCTGGTTCCAGAACCATTTGCAGGATCGTCAAGGAGGGCGGCGCCGTCCAACGGTGCTGTCAAGTGATGAATAAATGGCATCACAGAGGCGGTGGTGGAGGGAATCGAGAGAAGGAGTGGTGTGGGAATCGGATATTTCGATCAGGTCTTGTTGTAATGAATGTATGTTGATGGTAAATGATTGGAGGAGGCGATCGCAATGATGGGGGTCGGCAAGTTTGTTGAGATTCCATAATTGGCGTGGATGATGAGTGGTGGAGGAAGGAGGTGGTATGTTGGGAACGAAAGTGAGGTGGGAAAGCTTATGATCGGAACCCAGGGATATGTCTTGATCGATGTGCATGGAAGGTGTAAGGAGCGGCTGAGTACTTAGGAACCAGTCAATAATACTGGAACCATTACCACGGAGGTAGGTGTATTGGGCATAGGCCAGCAAAGCATTCCATAGGGTGAGGCCATGTTCGTGGATCCATTCTAAAAATATTGTACCGCGAGGGCTAACATAGTGGTCACCAACAAAGGAACCGATATGCGCATTGAAATCACCGCATAGTATGGTATTTGTGGTGCCGGGTGCAGAGTAAGGTAAGGCATTAAGGGTGGCAAGGGCATCGGAATCGGAGAGGGATGGGGGAAAGTACAAGCAGTGAATTAGATAATTGGCAGTAATACATGAGAGGACATATGGTGATGTGGTTGGAAGGACTGTGATGGGGTAAGGAAAGGAAGGATTTACAAGGAGTGAAATACCCATGCTACCGACGTAAGCGTTGGGGAGGCGTTGGCCATAGTTATGGTATTGGGACCAGTGGGTGGGAAATGAGTGTGGGGAGAGAAGCCAGGTTTCAGTAATAAAGATTAGTGAGGAATCTGAGGTAAAGGAAAGTAGATTATCAATAAGTTGACGTTGAAGCCCGTTGGCATTCCATAAAGTGATCATTAGAGGGTCACTCATTGATGGATATTTTCGGGGGTGGAGGTGCTGGTGGAGTCTGAGCTGGCGATTTGCATCGGTTCGTCATGATCATCATTCATTGTGAAAGGATTGGCAGGGGTGGTGGTGGGTTGGGATCGCGATTGGAGGAAAGAACGGAGCATCTCATCGTCGATCCACTTGTGGCTGTGGAAGGAACAGGCAACGGCAAATTTAACCGGTTCACGAATGAACTGGAGAGCACGTTCAAGGCGCTTGAGGTGGATCTGATCAGCCTCATGTTGACGGTCCTCCATGGATAGTTCAGTGAACTTGGGATCGTGCAGACGCGATTGATCATGGGGATTATACTCGTTGAGGGGTGAGATGTTGTGACGAGCAAACAAATTGGTCAAGGTTTCGTGGTAGTCATTGTGGATCAACAAAGCGACGACCTGGCGATCAGGGTAATGCACATCAAGAAGGTGAGAATTATCGAAACCGAGTGTACGAAGGGTTTGGCGAAGGGCCTTGGTTCGCATTCGGTATTTGCTAGGGATATACACATAGCGGAAACCATGGTTTTCACTAGGTGAAGTAAAGGCGCGGGCGAGAGTAGCCATACGTTTGGGGGAGACCTTGGATTTTGTGGTGCGCTTAACGCGCTGGGCCCAAGTTTCCACAATGGTGGAGGAAGCGGTGGTGGTGATGGACAGGAAATCGTCATGGGCATACTTGGATGCCATGGCACCAGACGAGGTAGAAGACGGGTGCTGAGTTTCCAGCTGGGCAATTTTGGCCTCAGCATCAGCCAATGATTTTTTCAACCGTTGGTTTTCCACGATCAGTTCGTCGTACTGATCCATGTGGCCGCAGAGTTGGTTGAGTTCAGCCATGATGGCAGTCATGAACTCAGGGAGTGCTTCATGGTGTTCGAAGTGGAGAGCAGAGGATGGCTTGGTGGTCGCAGTTGTACTAGCAGCAGCAGGTGTAACCGTGGTGGTGGGAATGGAGGGAATTTCCTGTTGAGCATCGCCCATTTGGGAGTCCATGGTTTGGGAGGCAGAGGCAGCTCGACCGAGATGTTGTTCGATCAAAAATTGCATATCTATATGACCAAAGCGGTGGCCACAACGGCAAAGGAAAATGGGCATGGCGGGATTAGTTTTGGTATGGCCATTTTTGTTGATGTGGCCAAGATCCAGGCATTTCGAGCATTTGAGGGCAGTGTGGCGCAAGGCCTCAAAATCGGAGTTCAGTTTTTTTAGGGCAGTGGGCGAAAAATTTTTAAGAGGTTTTGCCCCCCCCAGCTAGTTCTTGGGTTTTTTCTATTTTTTGGTGGTTTTAATCGCACCCATTGGAAGTTCGCATTCGGCGGATGCAGTAACGGTTTCAGAAAGTGTGGTTCGGGTACGTTTCTGTATCAGTAGGCGGGAGATGCGTAGCGGGAGCAGAGATGAGCGGCGCCGTTTGCTTAAAGAATATTGTTTCAGCTGGCGGCCAGATGTCAGAATTGCGGGGCAAAAGTTCACTATTTCGCTTGGCGGTTCTAATGGATCTTGCTTAGCAGGTGCTGGGCAACACGTGGAAGGTAAATTTGGGGAAGGTTGTGTTGCTGAATCTTTCTCTCTAGTTGTCAAGGTAATTACTAAATCCGGTTAAACTTTTATCCGCGAGAAAAGTGATGAAGAAGTGTGGTGGGAGAGTGGTAACCAAATTGATACAAGAGTAACCCAAAGAAAGAATATTCAGAACAGAGAAGATTAGCTTCAGAACTTCCATGGTTCTTCCTCTGAATACTAACTTCTTGTTACTGTAAATCCGAATAGGGTGATAGCCGACTGTAAAAACTATCAGACTATTCCAAAGAGACTTCCAAAAATGTAGGCGCTAGTCCAAAGTGTATCTTCGAAAAGATGTATTCCCAGAATAAGAGATCAAAAGACAAAAGCTTAAGGATGTAGATACAGAAAATTTCTAAAAGACATTTAAATACTTTCACCGTACTATAGTTTCTTAACTAAGGGATTACATAATATGTAAGAACAATAGAAATAATCATGGTTTGAGTCATCGTCAGAACGCGTAATGATCATAAGATAATTTCAGATTGTTAAACAAACTTCACGAAAAATCGAACGGGACTTCCAATTCACACTCCGCTTCTGAAAAAGAAGGAACCGACAAATCGATCGATATTTCATCGCCCAAACATCATAGCACCACGGGAGAAACACCAAAAGAAAGGGAAAAGACCAACGAATTCAGGCAACCACAGAAATTAACCAGAACAAGGGAAATCCGAAAAAGGCAGTTGGCCGAGGCTTGCACAACTTTGGTTTTCACAAATACCCCCCTCAAGCCGAGGCCATATGCAGGTTCCTTTGGGATATCTAGGCTTTGAACCGTTTGTAGGCGGGCTGGACCTCTGGTACCATTCTTGTAGACTCGTGGTAGGGCACCAAAACGTCACCGTTTACTGCACCCTTCAACCGTTGCTGATTCCTTGCACCTTCCAAATGATACACTATGTACCACTGTGAGCATTCACCTTCACCACCATGAATGGACCGATCCACTTGTCACTGAACTTGGTTCGAGGCGTCATATCCTTCATAAGAACGAGATCACCAATCTGGAATGGAGCTTTTGGATAAACCGTTTGGTCATAATACTTCTTCGCCACCAATTTTCTTGCGTCGGACCTTTGTCATGCTTCCTCTCGTATTTGTTTCAAATCTTCATGAATGAACTCAATCCGCTTGGCCACGTCTTCTTCGTAGTCACCCTCGACATACCCATGTATTGGCGCCGACCAAGTCGCAGGAGTCTTTATCTTATACCCGAATAGAAGGAACGCAGGAATCTGTCCAGTCGCCTCGTTTTTCAACGTCCTTAGAGCGAGAAGTGTCTTGTCCAAGTAACGATCCCATTGATAAACGTCGTCCTTGTCGCGAGCCAATTTTGCCAAAGTGAACGCCAGTGTCTGATTCAGTCTTTCACACAATCCATTCGTTTGCGGGCGATATGCAGTTGTGGGGACATTTCGGCAACCAATAGCCTTCAGAAAAGATACCGTATATTCAGAGACAAAATTTGAGCCGCGGTCAGTTAAGAGATACTTCGGGACACCATAGGGAACAACCAATTCAGAGTACAGAAAATCCACCATAGTTTTTTTAGTAATATCCTTTACTGCCTTCGCGATAGGCCATCTCGTCAAATGATTAATGGCAGTAAGGATATACTTGTTTCCTTGTTCAGTAACTTCCAAGGGGCCAATGGCATCGCAGCCAACCAGAGTGAAAGGCATCTCCGGGGTTTCTATCAATCGCATGAGGTTCGATCGGGCGATTCTTCTTCGTGCGCGGAATTGACAAGTCGTGCACTCCTTGACCAATAAACGAGCCTTCGCTTGAACATTGTCACAAACAAAACTCTCTTGAATCCTCTCAGCCAACTTCCGGGGACCAAAATGACCTTCCGCATGGAGCTGCTCCAGGATAGACCATTCGTTCCTCTCGTGCAAGACTTCGCGCGCCGAACCTTTTTCCACCAAATGATCCAAATGGATTTCGAACCTGTTCGCATGTCTTCGTATCCTTTGCTTCGTAATCCGGTCACAATCCAGAGGGTAAGCACCACCTTCCAAGTACTGGTAGAGAGCCAAAAACTAAGGAAACTTCATTTTTCACCATGAAATGAGATGAGATAAACCAAGGGGAGACAGATGTGCGAACCAAAAAGTAAAAATCAGAGTAAAAGCCGGTAACCAAAAATAAATCATGAATAGAATAAATTTATTCTCTCCATGTCAGCAAGGTGACATAATAAGAAACAATGAAGAACGAAAGTTCTTCGATCGCTAATCTCGAACCAACCGGGAAAGGGAGTCAGCAGGGTTGGATTTTCCCTTCACGTACTGGATTTCGAAATCGAATTCCATGAGACAAGCGGCCCATCTCGCCAACTTCGAGGTCTGCTTGGTCAGATTGTTGATGTAAACCAGGGCGGCATGGTCAGTTCGCAGAATGAATCTTCGTCCCAAGAGGTAATGGCGGAAATGTTGAATGGCCCAAATCAAGGCAAGAGCTTCCAAATGAGTAATGGAATAATTATGTTCTGGACCACGCACCGTTCAGGAGGCATAAGCGATCACCCTTTCCTCGGAGTCAGTACCATCCTTGGATTGGGAAAGGATCGCATCAAGACCTTTGGTAGAAGCTTCCGTCGTAAGGATCTGTACCTTCTGTCTATCCGGATAGCACAAAACCGGGGGATTCACTAGGGCAGTCTTCAGATTTTCATATGCACGGGCTTGTTCTTCGTCCCATCGAAATTCCACGGTCTTCCGCAAGAGCCTTGTCAACGGTTGAACCAGGGTAGCATAATCTTTGATAAACCTTCTGTAATAACTGGCAATACCAAGGAATGACCGGATATCATCACCATCTTGAGGGGCTGCGAACTTCATCACCTTCTCGACATTATAGTCGCTGGGGAGCAATCCATCGGCAGTCACCACATGTCCTAAGTACTCCACCTTGTCTTGCGCAAAATGACACTTCTTTCGTTTCAGTTTCAGATTGGCTTTTTGGCACTTTTCGAACACCAGTTCCAAATGATGGGCATGTTTCTCTAGAGATCGGGAGTACAGAATAATATCGTCAATAAAGACGTACACAAATTTACCAATATAATCTTGAAGCAACACGGTCATCATTCTTTGGAATGTAGAAGGGGCCGAAGTCAAGCCAAACGGCATCACCGTAAATTCATATGTGCCAAACTTCGTCACAAAACCAGTCTTCTCAATGTCTTGACTTGCCATGGGTACCTGCCAGTAACCACTGGCCACGTCCAGAGTCGAGAACACGCTCGCACCACCAAAAGAGTCCAGGAGTTCGTCAATTAACGGCAACGGAAAGGCATCCTTGATCGTAGCTTGATTCAGGCGTCGGTAGTCAATAACCATGCGTAATTCGCCACCCTTTTTCTTAACAAAAAATACGGGCGAAGTCCACTTTCCAGCGGAAGGACGGATGAGCCCCAACTCGATCATCTCTTGCAACTCCTTCTTCAGATGGTCTTCTTCTTTCCAGGTTAAATGGAAGGGCTTGGAACGAATCAGATGAACATTGTGGAGTGGAATTTCATGTTCCAAAACCTGGACTTTTCCTAGACCACTGGTCTCGACGAAACAACTATCATACGTGCGCACCACAGAGCCAATAGCTGGAGGCAACTCGGTCTTCTCACCTTCTTGCTGGTCTTAGTCAGAAACACCTTCTTGTTCGGTCACATCGTTCAGGTAAGGAACCAGTCGATCCTCGAGGTCGTTTTCCACATTGAAAACATCAGATGACGTCGGACACACGGACAAGGCATAGGCTTCAACTTCATCGTTGTTTCTTGCTGCACCAGAATATTCCGTATGGCACCGTAGGATCACCACACCCTTCTTGCAAGGTATTCTCAAGGTATTATCTTGCAACGAAATTTCAATACCATGAGCATGGAACCAAGAGATACCAAGCAGGCAAAGGTCCTTCTTTCCTTTGGTCGTTTGAACACACATATGTTCAGGTCGTATCTTGCCAGCAACGCAAATGGGCACATCGGTCGTGATATCGCTGGGGTCCTTGTTACCAATGTTAAAACCAGACAAATGCATCTGATCACCATTCGTGGCCAAACCAAGTCGGTCGCTCAAATCCTTGCCGATGACGCTCACACTTGCACCAGTATCGAACACCGCTTCGACTTCATGACCATTGATGGAAATTTTTCCCTTGAGAGGAGACCCAACACGCATCTTGGAAAGATCATAAGGGTACGTCATATCGTTCGTATCGACGGAATCGGTATCACTTTCCCACTCCATGTCTTTCTCCCATTCCAACACATCAGATTCAGTTTCACTGCTGGCCTGGGAACCAAGATCGAGACTGTCTTCGGAATCAGAGAGCACTTCCAAATTGTTCACTTGCATGGAATTTTCCTTGGCTGGTTTTCTTCGCCGCCAATAACGTATACCCGCGGCAATATCGTTTCCAGCCTGTCGTTCCAGATATAGCCAGTCCGCCATGGTTAATCCAGCGTCGGTGTGTTGCAATTTATCCCAGATCTTCTTTGGAATAAGATCGATTTCCAACGTTCTCGGGGGATTGCGCGATTTTCTAGGCTGAACGGCGGTCTTACTTGTCTTGACAACTGTCTTACTCGGTTCTTGATCTTCCACGCGTCGGCGTTTCTCAGCGGACAAAATGTCAACCGAAGGAACGGCCTCCACCAAATAAGCACCAGACTTCGCACCACCAGTTCCACCACCGGGCTTCAACGAGGATTTTTCTTGATATGGAGCACCAGTAACCTCGTTACAGTGACTCAAAAAAGTGGGGCAATGTTTGCAAAAAATGTGCGTTTTATTTAATTTTGTAATTTCCTACATAATAAAGTACAGTTTTCTTTTTTTAAATAAAAGCCCTTTTAATTACCTTTCGAATGAATTTTTACTCATATTGTTCCCATGTCTGGTTGTAAAGTTATGGGCGATTCGATTTTATATGTCATTGCCCTACTTTTTTGAGTTGTATGGAAAAAAATTGGCAGGCGCGAATTTCCTAAGTGACTGCTGTCCGAAATTCTTCAAAATCATGGACGCTATCAAAACAAGGCCTTCTCTTTTTTTCTCTTTCAAAATCAAGTGATTCATCTCCATCCTCTTCACCAATTACCAACGATTTTCGCAATTAGCAACCATCCTAACATGAAGTCAATTCCCACCACCACCACTCAGAATATTGAAGTACGTTTGCGACGTAGAGAGTCCCAACGGACTATTGAAGCTGCTCTTGGCGTTTCACGTCGAACGATTGGACGAATTGCTAAGCAATTAGACATTCAGTCTAATGCTGCCAATGGCCACCCATCAACAATCAGCACTAATCTTGGGTGGCTCATCTTGCGCAAGTTCGCCACTGGTGTTTACACTACTGCTGCTGACGCTGCAAGACAGCTTGCAGCAGAAAATACTTTTATTTCCGCCCAAACCATCCGAAATCACCTTTCAGCATGTGGTTTTGAACCGCGAATTAAACCAAACGCACTTCCATTGACACCAAGACACAAGAAGCTTCGTCTACAGTTTGCAAAGAAGTATCAACATTGGACTGTAGATGATTGGAAACGTGTGGTGTTTAGTGACGAAACTAAAATCAATCGTTTAGGTTCTGATGGGAAGCATTGGACTTGGGTGAAAGGTGGAGAGCCTCTTCGCGATCATAACGTTAATCCTACAGTCAAGCATGGTGATGGTAGCATTATGCTATGGAGCTGTATCACTGCTGAGGGCCCTGGCTACATTACCAAGATCGATGGTGGTATGAATTCTGATCTATATTGTAAGATTCTGCAAGATGATCTCTTCAGAATCTTGCATGATTATAATATAGATTTGAAGGATATTATCTTCCAACATGATAATGATCCTAAGCATACCTCAAAATTGACATGCCAGTGGTTAGAAGACAATCAGGTTAACATTTTGGATTGGTCTCCATACTCTCCAGATCTCAACCCCATTGAGAACCTATGGTATTATCTCAAGTGTCAGCTTTGTGGATATGATACAGCATCCACCAGCATCACTGAACTTTGGAAGCGCACAGGAGATGTCTGGTACCAAAAAGTAACGAAGGAAATGTGTGTGAAGCATATTGAAAGTATGCCAGCACGTTTGGCGGCCGTGATTCAGGCTAAAGGTGGACAAACAAAGTGGTAGATAATAAAAATTAGGTAAGTCAAAAAAGTGGGGCAATGCATAATATATTTTAATCGGCGATTTCTCTAGATCTAGCCAATCAATCTGCTTCGTTTTTTTTTTATTTTTTAGAGTACTATCTGTAGTTTATCTGTATGAAATATCATTTAATTTGAATCATCCATTTTTGAGAAATTCATTTAAATAGACATTTTTCACAAACATTGCCCCACTTTTTTGAGTCACTGTAAATACTTTCACCGTACTATAGTTTCTTAATTAAGGGATTACATAATATGTAAGAACAATAGAAATAATCATGGTTTGAGTCATCATCAGAACGCGTAATGATCATAAGATAATTTCAGATCGTTAAACGAACTTCACGAAAAATCGAACAGGACTTCCAATTCACACTCCGCTTCTGAAAAAGAAGGAACCGACAAATCGATCGATATTTCATCGCCCAAACATCATAGCACCATGGGAGAAACACCAAAAGAAAGGGAAAAGACCAACGAATTCAGGCAACCACAGAAATTAACCAGAACAAGGGAAATCCGAAAAAGGCAGTCGGCCGAGGCTTGCACAACTTTGGTTTTCACAGAATTGATACGTGTATGTGGCTGGCGATTAAAGAAGAACGAAAATAGGGATCGGGGAATGAGTGGTAAGTGATAGAGCCCGCGGTACAGATATGATCAAGGTAAAATAAAACAGTGAAGGTCGTTGCACGGTTTCCGCCTTTCCGCAAAAATATACGATCAGTACCGTTCTGACAATACTCCTTATTGCCGTTCTGATACTGCAATCCAAGTATATTTCTGTGACAGTCAAGTCGATATAATGTTAGAAATAGGGTCGTCAATAAGTCTGCTGTCAGCACGAAATAAACGTAAGGCCCCCCAAAAAATAGATCTCAAAGAAGAGTCGATTTATTCACAATGCATGATCAATTCGATTTAAGCTAAAATTTACATTCGCAAATTCCGGGTCGCATGCCGGACAGCCAACTCCGGACCAATATTTTAAAGGCCGACCGGAACATCCACAACAGGCCGCATCAGAATAACCAGTGATTCCTTGGTGTAGGTTAAAGGTTTATTGAAGGCGAGGCGAAGCCGAGCACGAGCTTCAGGTGTGAAGCAAATTGCTCTCGCCAGGTCAGTGTGGTGGGAAAGTCATGAAAAATAAAACCTGCGACCGGGATCAGGATCATGGTATTCAAGAAAATGTGGATCTGGGTGACAACTTTGGTCGACCTCAAGAAGAATGCAACATATACGTGGCCACATATTACGCCAAAACGTAATGCGGGCAGCAGATGTTGGGCGGGAACAGGGAAGCTGATTCAGTCGAAAGGAGAGCGGGTCATCTGGGCGGTTCGATCCAGTGAGTTGTAATCGTTCATGCATGTTGAGGCACCAGATAAGATGGCGACGGCTAGTGTGGTCCTTTTGACACCAACAAGTGCGTGGGCGGCCTGGTAGCCATCCCATGCGCCAGCGAAGGCAGCGGCTACGTTCGTGTCGGGTCATTGGGAGAAATAGGATGGGATCTATTCTAGCTTGGGGTCGGCATGCGCGGAGGAGGATGCTATTGCGACTGTTCAGTCGAGCTTCGAGCTGATCCTGCTTGTATGTAGTGATCGCTTTTTTGAGGTCTTGAGGGCTTGTCTCTGCACGTGGGCGGGATAATGAAATCCAAATTTCGTTTTTGTGAATTTGGAACCATAAGTGGCCCGTGGTAAAGATAGATGGGCGAAGTGCAGCGAGCAGGCTATCATCTGGGGTATTACGCACACGAAAGATGTATTTTACCTGGAGGATGGCATGGCGATGTACCATTGCTGGAAGACGGGTCAAGTGTTTAAACACCATGGTTGAGGATGTGCGGTGGCCTCCGAAAAGTAAGCGTAGACACTGGTCTTGTGCTTTTTCAAGTTTTATCTTTTCCTTCACCGAAGGGCGGATCAAAGCAAGGCCATATTCGAATTTTGGCCGAATAAATTGCTGGTATAAACGAGCGGAAAGGAGACGAGAGAACCCATTGGGATTTGCACCCAGGGAATGGATAACACGCATAGCACCAACTGCACCACGGCTGTTTTCGTAGATGAGTCGCGCTGAATCAATGAGGCCTTTGTTGTTAAACGGAATACCAAGATATTTAAAATATTGATCGCTCTGAAGTGGGACGTTATACAGAGTAAGGGGTCGTCGTGGGTGAATGGCAGGAGATCCAGGATAGGTGATAACACATTTATCGGGATTCCATCGGTATCCAAGTTGACGGCTATGGCGCTCACAGGCCGCGAGTAGAGCAGGCATGGTTGCCCATGTGCCGATCAGGGCAATATCATCAGCGTAAAGTAGACAGTTTATGCGTTGGTTCTGAACAAGAAATTCCGTGGGAAAGTCAAAATCATCATCGATAGGATTGATCGCCTCTTCAGTGAGACGCAAGAGGGAGGGCAGTGAGTTGATGTATACAGAGTATAAAAACGGCGACAGAATAGATCCTTGGAGAACGCCAGTGGCAGGTTGAAAACGGCGCGAGGTGATACCAGAGAGAGTAACTTCGATCTCAACATCATCAAAAAGATTTTTTAAGAGGGCGAGCAGGGGCGGTGCAGCGGCGAGCTCCAGTTCTTGCCAGATGACGTTTCTGTCGACGGTATCGTACGCTGATTTGATGTCAAGAAATGCTATTACAGGACTTTGGCCGTGAATGGTAGCATGCATCACCGACAATTCGTGCAGACAGAGGGCTTGATCCATGGCACTACGGCCAGGACGGAAACCACCCTGCGCAATATCAAGAGTGGGAGCAGCAATTTCCAGAGAGGGAGCAAGACAATTTTCGAACAGTTTGCGGAAAACAGAGGTCAGACAGATTGGGCGGTAGTTGCAAGGGTTGGATGGATCGCCTTTCTTGTAGATTGGGACCACTTGAGCAACGCGCCATACAGAAGGGGTTTGACCCCACTTCCAGCAGAGGGCGAAAAGTTTTACGAGGAGTGGAACGAGTGTGTCAATGAGTGGGAGGAGCATTTCAGTACGTACATGATCAATACCAGGCGCCTTTCGGCAAGCGAGGCGATTGAGAGCCTGAGTGACGGTATAATAATCGATCGGACAAGGAGTTGAAAAGGGAGCAGAGGAAACGGGTTCTTCGGTAATGGAGGGTCCAAGAAGATTCCCGGAGAAAACTGATTCGAGGTGTGTCAGAATGTGGTCAGCAGCGACCACTGGACCAGCAGGGTCAGAAAAAGAAGGATTAGTTTTACGGTTGCGGCGGATTTTGTTGATTGTGGTTGTGGCAGTGGCAACATCACCAGTAGACAGTTTCTCAGTGAACTCGCGCCAAGTTAGGCGGCGTCTTCGAGATACAAGGCGGCGGAAAATGGCAGCAGCGCGTTGGTGATCTACCCAACGAGAAAGTTTACTTGTACCAGAAGCTCGGCGCCAGAGTCGGTAGCAGCGTTCACGATCGTCAAATGCTTTCTGGAGTTCATCGTTCCAAAACCATTTGCACTTTCGGCGAGGAGGTTTACGTTTACCTACACTTTGGTCAAGTGCAGAATAAATGGCATTGCACAATTGGTCATTGAGAGCATCAAGTGGAGGAGGCGAACGAGTGGAAAGAGTGGTGGTAAGTAAGTCAGATAAAGGAGCGGACAGGGTGTTGAAGGATTGGAGATACTGGTCTAAGCGACTAGGGTAGCGAAAACGACTGAGATTCCATAGGCGACGTGGATGGTGAGAAGTGCTTGAGGGAGGAGGGGTAGAAGGAGTGTATGTGATATGGACGATTTTATGATCTGATCCCAGAGAGAGATCACTACTGACATACATAGAGGGGTTCAAGAGTGGTTGCGTGCTTATAAACCAGTCGATGATACTAGAACCGTGGCCCGAAAGAAGCGTGGGTATACCATAGGCCAGAGAGGCATTCCAAAGTGTTAGTCCATGCTCTTGTATCCAAGCGAGAAGCATAGTACCACGGGGTGTATAAATATTGTCTCCAATAAAGGTACCGATGCGTCCATTAAAATCACCGCATAGGATGGTATTGGTGGTGTTGTCGTGATGAAAGGGGAGGGAGTTGAGAACAGCCATGACGGCAGAGGAAGAAAGCGAGGGCGGTAAGTAGAGACAGTGGATGAGTGTATCGGTGACAATGCAGGAGAGAACATAAGGAGAGGAGTTCGGTAGGACAGTAACGTGGTAAGGAAAGGATGGGTTGACAAGTAGGGATATACCCATACTGCCGACATAAGCATTGCGTAGTGGTGTTCCATAGGTATGATGTTGGATCCAGTGTGTGGGAAAGGTATGGAGTTCGAGAAGCCAGGTTTCGGTGATAAACATAAGTGCAGAATTCGGGATATAGGAGAGGATCGTATCTATGAGGTGACGTTGGAGGCCATTGGCGTTCCATAAAGAGAGTGTAATGGGCTCACTCATTGATCGGATATTTGGTTCGCGTTAGTCTGGGTGGAAGTGTCGCTCGTAATCGACATGCGGCGGACGTTAGTGTCATCATCATTTGTGAGAAAAGGATTGTCAGGTGGGGTGGTGGTGAGTTCAGTGCGGGAAAGAATGGACTGGAGGTGGGAATCGGAGAGCCACTGTTGTTGATGGAAAGACCGGGCGACTGCAAATTTGACAGGTGCACGGATGAAATTAATGGCACGCTCAAGTCGTTCGACATGGAGTTGATCAGCCTGTTGTTGACGATCCTTGGCAGCCAAGGTTTCGAATTTAGGATCGCGCAAACACATAGGGTCGCGTGGGTTGAAATCTTTGATCTGCTGAATGGTGTGTTTGGCAAGGAGGGTAGTAAGTTCATCATAATAGTCATTATGGATCAGCAGGGCAACAATTTGGCGATCGGGGTAGTGAACATCCAGAATGCGTGAATTATTAAATCCAAGAATGCGAAGGCGGCTGCGAATCTCCTTAGTCTTCATCCGGAACTTGCTGGGGATATAGACATAGCGGAAACCATGGGTCTTACTATTAGTCGCGAAGGTTCTTGCAACGGTCTCCACTTGTTTGGTTGAGAACTTTTTTTTAGGTAGGTTTTTTTTAGTGCGAGAAGCCCATGTGTCCTTGACTGGGGAAGTGTCGGTTGTAGGGGGGTCTGTGGAGGTGGATGCATACTTAGAAGCCATTGCTCCAATGGGGGTAGGGTCAGCATATTGGGTTTCAAATTGAGCTTCAAGCTGGGCGATTCGAGCTTCGGCAGCAGCCAACGATTGGTTTAACTGATGATTTTCTGCCTTCAGTTGATCATACTCATCGAGGCGGCGGAGAACTTGATTCATTTGAGCGACCATGGCTGTCATGAATGATGGAAGGGCTTCATGATGCTCAAATTGTAACATGGTGGAGGGTAGAGGTTGTTCCGTCAGTGCAAGAGGTGTAGCTGGGTTCTGGGTCGGAGTAGATGCCTGAGATTCAGGCGATTCAACCATGGTGATATCAGGTAACGTTTCCACAGAAGCATCACGAGCGCGGGTTTGGTCGATCAGTTGGCGCATCTTAATATGCGAAAAACGTTGGCCGCATTGACAGAGAAAAATGGGCATGGCTGGTTCAGTCTTAGTGTGGCCATTTTTCCTGATGGTGGACTTGTTGCATTTGAGGCAGCTGAGTTGGGACTGACGCATTTCAGCGAAATCGGAGGCTAAAAGGGCCACGGCGTCAGGAGAAAAAATTTTGGGCGGCTTGGCCAGCCCAAGGGCTCCTTGGCTTTTCTCGGGTTTTTTTTGCACTGTTTTGACGGCGCCCATTAACAGTTGCAGGTCAGAAACGGTGGACAGTTGTTCAGGAAAGTTTGGACGCGTGCGTTTAAGTGCGGGGATTCAAGTAATGCGGGCTGGTAAAATAGATGTTCACCGCCGTTTACTGATAAATAATTTTTTTGTTGGATGGCCGGATGTTGGAATCGCAGGACAGAATTCGGTGCTTTCGCTTGGAGCTTCTAACGAAACTTGTTCTGCGAGGTTGGTAGTGGAGCTTGAGAGTGTTTTTACAGTTGGAGGGTTTGTTGTTTTGCTGCTATTCGTTGTCAAAGTTTTGCTGAAACCGGTAAAACTATTATCCGTGAAAAAAGTGATGAATAGTGGAATAACCAGTGATTCCTTGGTGTAGTTGGTTATCACGTCTGTCTAACACACAGACGGTCGCCAGTTCGAATCTGGCAGGAATCAATATTTTTGCTAAAATTGGCGTATCCTTTTTTGGTATTTCCTAAAACGTTCATAACAATGTCAGATTTGTGTACTCCTTTAGAGTTGTCAGTTACGCCGGTTCTTCTTTTGCGCCGATTAGATTTGCTATACCAAAGTTTAGCAAATACGGAAGACAGCGCATTGGCTCGTCCGCAGATCGATGTCTGGAGGAACCTTCGAGAAGGTATGAAGGACCAATGGATGAACGAGGCATACCAAAGGTATTGCCTGGAAAACGGAAGAAATATAGACCGAATCCGTTTAGCATTAAAGTGGTCCGTAATACTTCTTGATTGGTTATGTTTCGGAATAATAGAAAACCGTGCAGGAAGTTGACGAGAACCTTCCTGAAGATTGTAGACATAAAAATGATCTTGATAGAAAATATAAATATGACCATGTTATGGTAGAAATAAAGAAGGAAAAAAACTACAGATTTAAACTGAACTCTAAAGGAGTACTCAAATCTGACAACTGGTAGCGGCTGAAAAGAAACCCGACCTGAGCCCAATTACTATTACGACGAAACCGGAACTATGGACGCACAAATGAAGACTCTCACTGAAGCTTTGGCTTACCTTCTGGAACGCGAGAAGAAGAAGGAAGAAAACGCCGGAAAGCAGACCCAAGGTGCAGAAGTCAAGGTTCCTCTGCCTGCGAAGTTCCGAGGTGCCAAGGACCCCGTCGTTGTGGAAAACTGGATCGATGATGTCGACCAATACTTCACCTTTACAAAAATGCCGGAGGAACAGCGGTTCAACTTTGCTGTTATGCTCCTCGAAGACAAGGCGAAGATGTGGTGGCGACGTCACAAGCAGACTAGTGGTGACGATACGATCGATAACTGGGAAGATTTATGCGATGCCATTCGGCACTACTTTGTCCCAACTGGTGTGTACCGACAAGTCCGTGGAAAGTTGCACAACCTACGACAAACTGGTTCCGTGCAACGTTATGCCGAAGAGTTCCAGGACTTGAGAGCGATCGCTGGTGATGTCTCGGAAGCGGAAGCTTTGGATCGCTTCACTCGTGGTTTACGTATTCCGATCCAGGAATATGTGTACACCTATAGACCGGAGACTCTGGATCGTGCCATCGAGTTGGCTATGGACTACGAAGATGCTCGCCGTGGTAATTTCCGTCCCGTATTCCGTCCCCAGCAAGCTCAACGTCGGTTCAATGGACCCGAACCGATGGATCTGGACTTGCATGAATTGGATCGTCCCAGGAGACAACGACGTCCCAACGGCAAGAAGCACGTCAAGACCCCGAAGTGCTATGCCTGTGACCAGGAAGGTCACCTCGTGAAGGATTGCCCAGTGGTTAAAGCGGCCAAAGCTGCTTTAAAAGTCAACGCGCAATAGGTCAAGAGGGGGCCGTATTGCGCAAAGAAGATGTAACCACCCCTCTACCGGAACTAGGTCCTGGAAGCAAGGATCAGGGTGCTGGGAAGAAGCAGGGCGGTGGTGTCAAGAAATCGAAAGCTTCTTCCCCTTTCAAGTGGTACCAGGACAAGGAAACTCACGACCGTTGGCAAAAGGAACGCGACCATTTGGAAGAATTACAGCATTTGGCCAACGAAGGACGTGGTGCAATTGGTTTGCCGACATATAAAGGTTATATCGCCGGAGAATCTATGCAAGTTATTATCGACTCGGGAGCCTCAGCGAACTATGTATCCAAACGTCTGGCAAAAGGTTTGCCGCAACGCAAGTTGAAATGCGCTCTGCCAGTTAAGTCTGCTGGTAACAAGACGATCATGGTGGATACGGTGGTCAAGGTGCCTTTCTCCTTTGGACAAGTCGAGAAAGAAGATCACATCGAGGCATTGGTGATTCCCAGTCGATTCGATCTCATTTTGGGCATGGATTGGCTTGAAACGGTTAACCCGTCCGTAGACTGGAAGACGAAAACATGGCGGATCCAGACGGCAAAGGGCGAGATGGTGCTCTCCCCTAACGAACGAACGGACGATGACGAACTGAATTTTGTGTGTTGCCCGAGGCAAGTGGTCAAGTCGATCAAGCAGCGAGAAGAAGTAGCCCTGTTGTTGGTCAACAGCGAGAACGACATCAAGGTGGTGTCCGATTTATCGAAGAAAGCTGCTAAGTGGATCGAGGGATACGAAGACCTATTCTCAGACGAGTTACCTGGTTTGCCTCCAGAACGCGACGTACAGCATGTGATCAACGTCGGCGACGCAACACCCGTATCGAAAAACCCCTTCAAGATGAGTCCGCGTGAACTAGATGAACTTCAGCGACAGATCAAGGCGTTATTGGACAAAGGCTTGATCGAACCCAGCAAGTCACCGTGGGGTGCTCCAGTATTGTTCGTACGAAAGAAGGATGGTAGCATGCGTATGTGTGTTGACTATCGAGCTTTGAACAAACTGACGGTTCGAAACACTTCTCCATTGCCACGAATTGACGAATGTTTGGATCGCTTGGCTGGCGCACGTATTTTCTCTTCTTTGGATCTCAAAAGCGGATATCATCAAGTACGATTACGTGACGAGGATCGACCGAAAACTGCGTTTAACACTCGATATGGACAGTATCAGTTCAAGGTGTTACCTTTTGGTTTAACGAACGCTCCACCAACGTTTCAAGCAATGATGAATCGAATTCTCGGAGAATATATCGATCGATTCGTGTTGGTTTATCTCGACGATATCCTGGTGTACAGCCGTAACGAGGAAGAACACAAGAAGCACTTGCACATAGTGTTGGAAAAATTGCGTGAACACAAGCTGTTTCTGAACCCGGACAAATGCGAATTTGGTGTCGACGAATTGGTGTTCGTTGGATTTCGAGTGACTAAGAACGGTATCCTGCCGGATAACAAGAAGATTGCGAAGCTGCAAACTTGGCCCACTCCCACCAATGTCCAGGAGGTGCGACAGTTCCTTGGATTGGCAAGTTATTACCGCCGATTTATCAAGGATTACGCCCACATCGCCGCACCATTGACCGACCTCACGCAAGGTGCTGGACCGAAACGCCGAAAGATCGTTTGGTCGCCGAAATGTCAAGCTGCTTTCGAAGAATTGAAGACACAGTTAGCCTCTGCTCCTGTGTTGGTGGCTCCTCGACTCGATCGTCCGTACAAGGTGTATACAGACGCTTCAGATTTCGCTTGTGGTGCTGTACTGGTTCAAGATGACGACGATGGTTTGGAACATCCGATCGCCTATGAGAGCAAGAAGTTTAGCAAGACTGAGCAAAATTATCCTGCTCAAGAAAGGGAATTATTTGCTATCCTTCATGCTTTGCGCACGTGGCGATGTTTTTTGGACGGTACCAAGTATGTGGTATACACGGATCATTTGCCACTTCGGTACCTACGTTCGCAGAAGACTCCGACCCCTAGGCTGGTACGCTGGATTAACGAGCTGGAACTGTACGACCCCGATATTCAGTATCGACCAGGCAAACAACAAGTAGTACCGGATGCACTCTCTCGGATCGTTCAAGACCCTGACGATGACCATGATGAGAAGCCCGTAGTGCCCGAATACTTATACTTAATGGACACGGTGATGCCTGTGGTGCATGATACAGATTGGCCTCTTTATTACATGTACGCCGAAGAAGCCATTCCTGAGTCCGTACGAGAACAGCTGAAGGAAAATCGCGATACGTTTATGATCAAGGACGACGTAATCTACCACCGAAATGATGAACACTGGACCCGATTTGTTCCTTACGTTGAACGTGCCGACCTGCTTGCTCGTTATCACCATTCCGTTGGACATGCCGGATTGTCAACCATGTTACACGTATTACAACCCCGTGTATGGTGGCCCCAGATGAAGAAGGAAATCGAAGAATGGTTACAGCAGTGTCAAGAGTGTCAACTAGCCGGTAAACCTCAAAGATCTGTTCGCAAAGCGCCGATGCATCCTCTTAACGTCCCGGAACCGTTTGGACGATGGCATCTGGATTTCATTGGTCAATTACCTACGACTCGTAAAGGCAATCGTTGGATCATTGTTGCCGTGGATTATTTGACGAATTGGCCAATTGCTCGAGCTGTCCCAGTGGCGTCTGCAGCAGCGGTAGCAGACTTTTTGTACGAAGAAATCGTCATGCGCTTTGGTTGCCCCAAGGAGATTCTCTCGGATCGTGGTGCTGCCTTTATGTCCCAAATCTTGCAGCGATACACGAAACGAATCAAGGCAACGCATCGATTTACGTCGGCTTATCATCCTCGAACGAACGGAAAAGTCGAACGCTTGAATGGAACCCTGAAGTCGATGCTCATCAAGTACTTGCGTGGACGAATTCATGAATGGGATCAACACTTGGACGCAGCCGTATGGGCCTTACGTGTTCGTAAACACGCTACTACTGGACATAGCCCATTCTACTTGGTGTACGGTCGAGAACCTGTGCTCCCTGGTGACCCATTACGACCTTATCTAGCTGGACCTGATGTTCCTGTGGACCCGAACAGACCTTCTGAAGAGCTGGACAAGCTAGAATCAGCCCGTCAAGACGCTGAAACACAACTGAAGTCGCAAGCCGAACGTGACAAAGTTCGATGGGATGCTACGGTTAAGCCCATTACGTTCGAAATTGGTGACTTAGTCTTGTTGCGTGTGGAACAGAAAGTTGGATTGGAATTTTCATGGGAAGGACCTTACCGTGTACGACGCAAGAACGACGACAACGATGTTTATTTATTGGAAAGTCTCGATGGTGTGGTTCGACCTGATTGGATATATGTCGATCGCCTGAAGCAAGCAAACACAGTCGAACAGTTACTCGAAACGCGACCCTGGTTCGATGTGCGAACGTCCCGTTCCCAATGGCCTGCTGGTGCATTACGCGATTTGCCGCCATCTAACGACTTTCACGAAAAGGTTGACGCCATCGTGAACGAGCCCAACACTCACGATGCGCAAGAAATCGTTGC